GCGGCTCACCCCATGGGCATACACTGTGCCCCACCCATGGGCCCCAGACGGAGATGTTTCCGTGTGGAGCCGGCGGGGTGGGGGACATGATGTCGGGGAGGAGGTGGCATGGGGAGGGGCCCTTACCACGCCACACCGTTGTCATGCAGGACCTCCCCAGGAGCCACCACGGAGTCGCGGGAGTAGCAGGGACAGTCCTTGGCAGGCACGCAGGCACCGGCGTCGTCCAGGAAGGTGCCCGAGGGGCAGGTGCAGCCGTCCACAGGCACGAAGGCCACGTCGCAGGTGACGTCGACCTGGCTCAGGGAGCGGCAGGTGGGCTGGCAGCTCTCCACCACGTAGGAGTAGTTCTGGGACTTGGGGCAGCTGCTTGCGTACCTGGCTAGGGGCAGGCGGGCAACACGCAGGTCAGTGGCCGGGCAGCCCATCGGCCTCGCCTTACCACGTCCAAGCTGGGGCTGGAGTGGCCCAGGCCTCGATTCCCCTCTGGAACCCGGGTCATAAGAGCACGCGGCTCTTGTTGGACAAGAAGGGGAGGCACAAGTTTCTCACTGAGGACAGACACAGAGGTGAGGTGCTGCCCCGGGTCTCCAGAACCCCCGCCCCCGCCTGGGCACACTCAGGGCACACTTACTGCACGCGCCGTCCCGCCAGCCGCTCAGCAGCACGCCCTTGGCGGCGCAGGCCCGCACGTAGGAGGAAAGGGCGGCGCACATGCAGTCCTCACTCTTCTCACAGTTGCACGTGTCGAACATGCAGTTCTGCGGGGATGTCAGGGGGTCGGGACGTCAGGGAGCCCAGCCCCCCAGCGGCCTTTCTCTCCCCGTCCATCCTTCTGGGTGCCCTGGCCTGGGCCAGCAAGCAGGTGGGCGGGGCCTCCCGTAGGGCAGCCCCGAGCTTGACGTGGAGCCACGGAAGGGACACACTGCTCTGAGGGGTCGGGAGGGGCTGAGGATGGGGCCAAGGAGAGGGGTCTCCGCAGGACCAGGACGGGGTCCAGCTTGAATCCTAGGCCCGTCACGAGCTGTGCTGCATGTGGGGCGTGGCCAGGGTGGGGAGGGGCCGACAGGAGGGTGTGTCACCCTCAAAATGGGCTGAGGTGGGCCTGCGTCTCCACCTGTGGACCCAGCCCCTGGGGGCTGGGGTCGGGTGCGCTTTAGGGCTCTGGCTCCCAGAAAAGTGACCTGTGAGCCAACTGCAGCGGGTGACGTTCTGTCGCCCCAAAAGACGTGTCCATATCGTGACCCCGGGGCCTGTGGCGGTGGCCCTGCTGGAAATGGGGCATTTGCAGGGGTGATGAAGTCAAGAGGGGTCACTAGGGTGGGCCTGGTGTCCCTGTGAGAAAGAATTGGGACCCAGGCAAACCTGGAGGCCACGTGAAGACGCGGCAGAGGCTGGCGAGAGGCAGCCTCACGGCCCCAGAAGCTGGAGAGACAGGAAGGATCCTCTAGGACATCCTGCCAGGACCTAGATTTTAAATCTCGTCTCCAGGACTGGGGTAGGGGGCAGGGTAGATGGCTCCAGCTTTCAGCCCCAGTCTGTGGTCCTTCGTTACAGGTCACCCAGGCAAGGAACACACCAGCAGGGACCATGCGAAGACCCCAGAGCAGGCCTAGAGTGGGACCCACTGGCCACGGAGGTGTGGGCGGTGCCTGAGAGCAGGAGCCTGAGGGGGGCCTGGGGGGCAGCTCCAGGGGCAGATGCTGCCCCCAGCACCCCACCCCACTCTGGGGGCGGGCCAGGGCTCTCACCGAGTGGAAGGGCGCAGGGTTGACGATGGCGTGGCAGGGTGAGAAGGCCCCGGCAGGGCTGGTCAGCAGGGAGCACCAGTGCCGGGCATAGTTCTCTGCGGGGGTTGGGGGGTGGCTGTCACCAGGCACAGCTCAGGGTCACTGGCTTCCTTCCCACATGTCCCCCTCTGCGCCTGCCCACCCACCTAGCCTCTGCTTGGCCCACACAGGTCTGCGGGGGCCCCTCCGCCCGGGAAACTGAACTGGAGCTTGGGGCTGGCCGGCAGCAGGACACCTTCCTCGAGACGGGCTCACAGCCCCGTCGGGCCCCCTGCGCCCTTCCTGCTCACCCCCGGCCCCAGCTGCGCAGAGCCTCCTGCACAGAAGGGCAACCCCCAGGCCTGGCCCCATGGAGACCCAAGGGCCCCCAGGGCAGGGTACCGTTGTCCACGCTGAGGGAGCAGGGGTCCTCGAAGCTGTTCTTGACGTTGCGGCAGGCGGCCTGGGTCTTCCAGGTGTTGGCGAAGGCGGCGGCTGTGCCCTCCACCACGCCGCTGATGGTCCGGAAGTCGTCCGCCTGGTTCTGGTTGAAGTTCCCACACAGGCCTGGGGGTGGGAGGTGGGGGGTGGGCATCAGTGGCCCACCCAGCCCAGCCTGAGTGCCCCGGCCCCGCAGGTCCTACAGGCACCACCGCAAGGTGGGCGAGCCCCGTCTCAGGACCAGTTGCTGAAGTGCCTGCAGCTGAGCCCTGGGGCATGGGGAGGGAGCGCCCTGCGAAGCCCGCTGAGCGAGGGCAGCCTGCTCTCCATCCTCCCAGCCCACCGCCCCCTCCGTGGCGACTGGTGTGGGGCGGGGGTCCCCTTCTCCTGCCCGATTGCCCACCCCCTGCCCCGCCCCCACTGCTCCTCCCACACCCTCCACTGAGCCTCACCGCACATTTGGCCGTGGTAGGAAGGGTCCAGCCTGAGGAACACCTGCATGAGGGGCACCAGCTGCACCTGCGCCTGCAGCCCGAGGCCCGTCTGCACCAGGATGAAGAAGGACGAGGGTCTGAAGATGGTAATGTTGGCTGCGGGTGGGGTGGGGGAGGGCGCAGTCAGAGCCCGGCCACGCTGACCGCCTGGCCTTAGCAGCGGGCTCCTGGGATGGCCACTGCTGAAGGGCGCCCGGTGGACCCCCGCCACCCTCCGGGGCCTGGGAGCCATGCGGAAGCTCGCATGTGCTCCTGGGGCCACGGCCACTGACGCCGCCGAGAGGCTGGGCACCAAGCGTGCTCCATACAGGGTCCCCACAGGGCCCCAGGGGAGGCCCCTGACATCCCCACCTTGCAGGTGAGAAACCAGCCCTGGGAGTGGATGTTCTGGAACCTTCTGAGCTAGCAAGGAACTAGCGAGGGACCCGGCTGGCCCCAAGCGGCAGGAGCCACGTACCCGCTGACACAGGCAGCTGGGTGTAGATGGAGTTCATGAACACAGCACCGTTGGCCTGGATCCGGATGGCCTAGTGGGAGGAGGTGGGGCTGTGGTCAGCGTGGGCAAGAGCCTGCCGGCCCACTGAGGGAGCACTGGCAGGGGCCAGCCTCCCCCACCCCAGGGATGGCTGCTGCCCCTGGGGCCTGTCCTCCCCCCCGGTCCCCCCAGCCTGGGACACTCACCGTGTCCCCTCCGTGCATGCTCAGCGTCACCGTTTTGAGGCAGTTCTCATTGTCGGTCAGGCCACATCTCCGCAGCTCAGCCAGCACCGTGAGGGTGTTGTCCGCACATTTCTGAACAAGGCAGAGCCCGCCTATGTACTGGGGTCGGCCAGCCCCCAACCCAGGCAGGGAGGGCCGAGTGTGGGCGGGTAGGGTGGGCTGGCGCTGGTACCTGCGGTTGCCTCTGGCAGCCGTCTCGGAGCCTGAGAGTCCCTCGGTCCCCCATGAATGTGAGCCCTGGGGCCTCCCTCTCGGAATGGACCCAGGGGGCTTCACGGCTCTGATGGCCATGCGGGGGCCCTCCCTGGGCCAAGGACGCAGGGTCCCTGGAGGGGCTCACCTTGGTCAGGACGTAGCTGCAGTCCCCTGGATGTCATAGAGTTTCTCGTCGTAGGTGGAGATGTGCGACCCGCCCTGGACAGAGCAGGTGCCCGGGCACGGGAGTTTCTGGCACTGCCATAGTCCCCCGGAGCAGGTGCTGGGTAGGGGAGGTCGGGACAGAGGTCGTGGTGAGGGGGCAAACCCCACCCCGGGCATCCCCACCCCTCAGGCAGGGCTGGCAGGGGAGCTACCAGGAGCTGCAGCTGGTGGTGTAGGAGTCCCCCGGGGCATAGGTGTGGCCGCTGTGGGTGCAGGGGCACTGCTGCAGGGGCAGGCAGCCTGTGTGGGTGACATCATCCAGCACGGTGCCTGGGGAGCGGTGGGGGGGGACACGAGCCAGTCAGCTGAGGTTGGGGTGGGGAGGTGGAAAGACAGTGACCAGAGGCAGCCCCAGGGATGAGGGCAAAGGCCCAGGTTGTGGACAGTCCCCGAGAGCCCGGAGAACCTGCCTGGGGGGCAGAAGCAGCCGTCGACGCAGTGGTCCTCGCAATGCTGGGAGTGCTCGGGGTTGGAGCAGGTGTCCATGCAGGGCGAGCCGCACTCCTGGTGCTGCATGTTCAGGGGGCACGTCTGGGCTGCAGGGAGGAGGCAGCACTTAGCCCCAGGAAGCCATGTGGGTGGCGGGCCCACCTCTGCTGCTGCATTCCATGTGTCACCGACGGTCCCCAAAATGAGCGCCTCTCGTACCATCTAGCAGTCTTCTGGGTGAGGCGGGCGGTGAGGAGAGCGCGGGGCCCAGTGTTTGCAGGGACAGCCCCCCTGCACCCACCTGGGTCCTGGGGGTGAGCAAGCTGGCGGTGCCCAGGCCAGGTGCCCCTCTGGGCCCTCCAAGGCAGCAGCCTCGCACACTCCCCTCTGCCCCACTGCCCATCCTCTTGCTCCCAGGGTGGCTCCACCTGTCCTGGACCCCCAGCCAGAAGCCAGGTGTCCTGCGCAGGGTCACTTCCCTCACGCTCTCCCCAGAGACCCAGTGTGGGTGCAGGGCCCGGGGCTGGCCCCCAGTGCAGGGGGACACTCACGGCAGAGGTCGGGGCCCCTCCAGTTCTGCGGCTGCCCCCCGGCATGGGCGCACTGGCGGGAGTACTCGGCAAAGGTGGCGCAGGGGCAGGCAGGGCAGCGGCACAGGTCCTGGGTGCAGGCGGCCACGTACAGCTCGACATCCAGCAGCCTGTTGCACTGAGCGAAAGCCGGGCCCAGCAGGGTCCCGCGGCAGAGGCCCTCCTGGGGAGACAGAGACTGGGCACCCTCTGCCCTCCATGCGGGATGTTGTGGGGACCCCAGCCCTGCAGGCTTTACCCAGGCCAGGAAGCCCCCTCCTCTCCTTGAGGTTCCGTCCCTCCATCCATCCACCGACTCATCCGACCATCTATTCACCATCTACCCTTCCATCCCTCTGTCCATCCATATATCCATCCACCCGTCCCTCCAGCCAGCCAGCCAGCCGTCCACCCATCCTTCTCCTCAACCACCATGAACTCACCACTGCTGGGTTCAGAGCTCTGCTTGGCTCTGAGGAGTGACCACAGCCCTGGACTCCCCACACCCCGCCAGGGCTCCAGGACACACCTGCCCATTGTGTGAGCACCCAGAAAAGGAGCAGACCTCGCCCTTGGAGGCAGCTCGGAGGAGGGGGAGGCAGAGGTGTCCTCCGTGCTCAGCCAGTGGCCTTCAGCCCCCGCCCCGACCGGCTCCGCGTCCTTATTTAAGCTTGTGGGTTCTGGTGGTTTCGGGGATCCTGGAGTTCAAGTCCACTTCTTAAGGTGGGATCCTCCCCGCTCATCGGGAAGGCTTCTGCCCCAGGCTTGCTGAGTGCCCCACTCTCGGTGGGACTATGTGGGGCATGGTCTGTGCTTGCAGGGGCGTCAGGCAGGCAGGGCCCCTGGAGAGGCACTCACTTCATCAGTGCAGTTGTCAGCCGGGGAGGGCAGGGGGTCCTGGCACTGCTCTGTGGGCCCATCCAGCTTCTGCAGGTTCCCAAACTGTAGCGGGGTCAGCCTAGTGTCTGCAGAGAGGAGGCA